AGGGTCATCCGGAAACAGCCTCTCTACTTCTTTGGGATAGGGGTAAGGTCTGCGTACATACTACCCTCCCCAGACCCCACTTATAAAATTTTACTGGGTTATTGTTGTACAAATAATGTTGTAAGTGTTGGTTGAAGCAACGAAAAAGAATTGGTAAGGAGACTTTTTCTTTTAATGAGCTTACGCGGCGTGAATTTAAATTAATCAGGGTTCTAATACGTGTATCGAGCATAGGTTCAGGAAAAAAAATATGACAAAATCCATTTTCTCGTGTGATTAAGAAATATAATGTGATTAATTATGAGAAAGAAATCTAGATCATAGAAAGCAAAGAGTGAACGTTCCTCTAGAAGATTGACTTTTAATTTTATTTCATAAAATCATAAACCTATATATGCAAGTTGTTTAATTTTTTTGTCTCGTACTTTTCATTTATTGTATGTTGACTAATTAACATTAGCCAATTAAAAGATCTTTAGACATTTATATCAGACCTAATTGTACAATCATGTGACAAAATTGACGAGAGTTTAATTAAGGTGATGCACGAAGAAATCATGTACATAAAATAGTGAATAATAATTTTTAAAAATCTGAATAAAGTTAGGCGTGATACACACCCTGCTGGACTTTCTTAGCCTCCAAAACTTTGCTAAGGGAGAAAATGAAAGGATATGTTCAGCGTCATCATAGCTTTATTTTTATTTTTTTGTTTTCTATCTAGCTGGGTAGAAATGACACCAAGTAGCCACTTTAAAGAGTTGCAATTTAGAAATTAGTTAGTACGTCATGAATTTTAATTTTTTAGTTTTAATTTTCGGGATAAAAATATCTTAAATTGTCTTGAAGTTAAGATTTTTAGTGCGAAATTTCAGGACAAAATAAGTACTGGCTAATTTCTAAATAGCATTCCTGAGAATGACTATCTGTGCACTTGCCCCTCTATCTAGTCTTTAGTATCCAAATTACGGTCCCGACGAATATGAATTCGAGCCTCGTAAGGCCTACAAAATGGGTGAGCGCTCTTTACCAAAAAAAAAAAAAAANAATGCACATGCGAATCTTGTCGACGCGGTTTCTGCTTAGCTTGTGATGTAGCCATTTAATTTATTATAAATATACTCAATTAGGGATGTACATAGATCGGGTTGGTTCGGGTTTTTATCAAAACCAAATCAAACCATTATATCGGTTTGGATTGGTTCGGTTTTGTCGGATTTTTCGGGTTTTAGGGTTTTTTTGTTACATAAATATTATTTCAATCTTACTTTGTTAAAATTATAGATAAACCTTTGATAAATGAATATATGCTTAGTAAATATGGAAAAAAAAATTGACAAAGATATGATCTATTAAAATATTCTAATGGGAGAATTTTTTTAGTAACAGTACACATGATAGTTATTTTCTTAGTTGTCTAACAATAATTTTTCGTTAATTTACATTTTTAAGGTTAATACATGAGAGGATCCCAAATATTTCTACATTTTCTAAAGAAAATTCACTATAAAGTCTTAAAAATATAAATAAAATTTATATATTTATATGTCGGTTTGGTTCGGGTTTTTTTATTCAATACCAAACCAAGTCAAACCAAACCTAGTCGGGTTTTTTAATCGGTTTGATTTGGTTTTTCGATTTGGTACGGTTTTCCGGTTCGATTTGAACACCCCTATACACAACATCGTAATGATTTTTTACATTGGCAATATAAATTTCATATGTGATAGCAAGTTACAACTATTTTTATCAGATTGTTAATTAGTATTATTTGACATACAGATTTACGTATAATTATCTTATAAATAATCTTACCTTGGAAATATTTGTATACTATCGTGTATATAACTTAAACTCGTAAATGAATTTAATTTCTAAGTTTCTATTTCCATAGGCCAGGATTTACTTGCGTTTCACGCGGCTATTCGTTTTCCCACCTTATGTTTGGATTCGTCTGATCTATCTCTATCTCACTATTATTCTTTTTTCTCAATATGGCAATGGGCATGTGTAATTTCTTTACTCTATATCTGTACTACTTTTTCTCATTATGGTAATGGCCATGGCATTTCTTTATTCTACTATAATACTTCGGTAAATATTTACTCACGTCCGGTGTTTACGTCAAACCAAACAGTTTAATTATGAGAGCAACCAATTAAAGTGCACATGCATATTACATAACCATGGTGAAGTATTAAATAATTTATATGCAAGATAAGTGTCATATATTGATTTGCTTGGTGTAAATAGTGAGTGAGAATAAGTTTTTAGCATAATACTTATATAATGTGGCTTTTTTCACTTTTACCCCCGGCAGAAACTATTTATATTCGACAGCCGAAAAAAGTGTATAAATTTTGTATAATTTTTTTATATAACATATAGAATGTATATATATACCAAAAATATATTTTTTCGGCTATTATTTTAAAAACGACTATACAGTGTCATTTTTCCATGCCTTAATAGCGTTTGCCAACTAGCCTGTTTTCATGTTTCTCAGTGTGGTCAGTACCAAGTGTAAAAGGCCATAAGAAAAGGTTGCGTCAACTTTCTTCCCTTAGACTTTAATATTATACAACATAGAAAATAAATGGTCAAGAAAGCAGTCATTGTAGGTAACTTTTGCATATACCCTGTATTTATACTAAAAAGTTCATTAAAAGTATAAGAATATTTAGCTTGGAACCCAATTCGTTGGTTCATTTATCATGTAGATTAACATGAGATTGTTATAGAAACCATAAACTTAAAATTCTGGATCCGCCTCTGTGCAGAAGAGTAGTCTTTTTCACTAGTTAATTAGTAATAATAGACAGATATGTTTGTATTTACATGGAAAAAGTACATGATTTTTGAGAAAGAATGTATCCATGATACCAAAAGCATTCATGTTTTGATGCAAAGTAGTTTCTATATCAATTAAATTTGTCAACACGTAGTTTAGAAATACTACAAAGATCACCATCAGGGAACAATAATTATTTTGTCAAAAAGGTATCAATTCAGCTGCATTTTACTCCCTTTTCTATTACCGTACCTGAACCGAGAGTCTACTGAAAACAACCTCTCTATCTTTTCAAGATAGGAGCAAGGTCTCTATAAACATTACCAGTGGCGGAGGCAGGATTTTCGCCAAGGGTTCAAAAAAGAAAAAAGTTGAAAAATTAGAAGAGATTGTGGCCAGTAGAAATTGAACTAGTGATCTCACAAAGGTTTTGAACCCCCTTGACCACTGAGCTATGCTTTTAATCTATGTCAAGGGAATTCAAAACATAATATATAGAGATAAAAAACAGATTTTGCCTTATATTACATAGTGTAATTTTTCGGTGAAGGGAGTTCACGCGAACCCCCTTTCGCCCCCCTAAATCCGCCCCTGGACATTACCTCCCCAAGACCCCACTTGTAGGATCACATTGGGTTTGTTGTCGTTGTTGTTGTATTACTATACCCCACCCCAACGGGGCGACATCGTCGGATTGTCCCAAGGGTGGTCAATTGAATGCCCCTTATTAAAAAGTTACACTCTGAAGAAGTACAAGATAAAAATGATGTAAATCACTAATACTAAGAAAGTTTCCAATTCAATGGCAAAGGGGGTTCAAAAAATGTTTGAAGTCATGAGTTTTTAACTTTCAACTCCCAACTATGACATTTTAGCATTTTTTTGAATCCCCTTGTCGTAAATCCTGCCTCTACGCCTGTGCACCTCTACGCCTGTGCATCGCCAATTCCCGTCTCCAACCCCAACAGCATCAGACGCGTTTTCTGATCATTCAGTAAAGCCATGCTGCTTAAAATAGAAGTATGTGAATCAAAATGATATTGAGTATTGACCTAGTGTGTGAACTCAAACCAGTACATGCGGCTACTAACATTATGGTACATTTGAAAACAACATAAAAACAAGAAAACAGGTCAAAGACTGTCTCTTAGCTTACAAAAAATGACTGCCAGTTATAATAGAAAATCCTAATACTTAGAATAAGTAAATCTGGAATCTGGAATAAACACTTTCCACAAATACTAGTGCACTTAGCTTTATATAGAAAAGTAGCATGGTACTATTCAGTCTTTTCCTTCTTATGCCATTCAATTTAAAAACCAGGCTATCACACCATATTCTGCTTACATTTTGTTTAAGCAGAGTCTGAAAATTGAGCAGGAAGCTACAAAAAGGGCAGCCCCGGTGCACTAAGCTCCCGCTATGTGCGGGGTCCGAGGAAGGACCGGACCACAAGGATTTATTGTACGCAGCCTTACCCTGCATTTTTGCAAGAGGCTGTTACCACGGTTCGAACCCGTGACCTTCCTGAGCAGGAAGCAACAATAAATTAAAATGTGCTACGCGGAAATGAATAAATAAGAACCTGTATTTCTGGCATATTAAGGTTCCATTTTGTTTAGCAGGAAGCAACAATAGATTAGGTTGTGTTATATAGAAATGAATAAATAAGAACCAATATTTCTAGCTGAGTGACTCCAACATAGTAAGCAACCTCCGCTTCCAACCAAGAGGTTGTGAGTTCGAGTCTCCCCAAGAGCAAGGTGGGAAGTTCTTGGAGGGAAGGATGCCGGGGGTCTATTTGGAAACAGCCTCTCTACCCCAGGGTAGGGGTAAGGTCTGCGTACACACTACCCTCCCCAGACCCCACTAAGTGGGATTATACTGTGTTGTTGTTGTTGTTGTTGTTGTTGTTGACTCCAACATAGAACATGGCACCAGCAACATTATCTATAGTTACCTGACGAGTACGTTTGTGAAGTTGAATGTGAGTACATATATTTTCACATGGTATGAGGCACACAGCGCATGGGGTGAATGATGATCATTCGCAGTTAAGAATTTTCTAACTCTCGCTCTTTAGACTAAAGATACACTTACATAACTTTATATTATCTCGATCTCATTCATAGCGTTGGCAGAAAGCACTCTAACGACAAGGTTTAAGCTTGAAATACTGACATGGTCGGGGTAGAACAGGGTTAGTCCGTTAGCACCAAATGCATAGTTATCCCATAATTCAACAATCTTCACAAAAAGTGAACATTACATTGTAAATCATCTCACAAAAGCACGATGAATGCATCCAACTCACATTTTGTTTCTTTGGCAAATTCGCATATCTGTTTGTTACATGTAGGAGCCAAATTGAAAGATTGAACCCATTAATGATGGCAAAACCAAACCAATATATGATCTTGGAAGGATAATTCAAAAATCAACCTACAAAGATGAACCAAAAAGATCTGAATCGTACTCTGTGAAGCAGCATCCACCACCTCTTTCAATGAAAGATAGGTGTTTCTCATGATTCTTTGGGAGTAGTAGCTTGTCGAAGTCGACGTTGATGTACATCCCAGTTGTATACACGAGCAGTTGTGACCTGAGCCATAGCAACTAAAAGAATAAGCACAAAAGCAACTAATAGCAACAACTAGCATTCCAGAATCAACGTGTTTCCAAAGATGAAGTAAAATAAGTAATTAACATCAATTAGCTAAATAATTGAGAAATTGCCCAAGTTCCATAATTAGGTACATTCACCAAATACATCAGTAAAAATTAGTGGTATATTCCCTAACAAAGTAAAATCAGTAAGTAACTAAAAATTTACTTAAGCCAATTTACAGGCAACAGCTTGCAAGCCAGCAGCACTTGAATACAAGCTAAGTTCTTAGTCCTAGATGAGAGTCAGAGCAGAACTGACCTGAGTTGTTGTCACTTGATCCCTCAGAAATTGTAGATCAGCCACAAGAACTTCTAAACTAGCTTTTGCATTTTCCAAGTTCGTTTGAAGAAGGGCAGTAGCCTGTACAGTGAACAAGATGTGAAGACCAATACTTCAAATATCCAAGAGTGCATGTTTCCGAAATCTTACAATAGCAAGTTACATACCTCTTCACATGAATACTGCAGCATAACATTTGCCCCTAGCCATAAGCACACAGATTCAGCATCTTCAATCTTAGCCCGGGAATAAATACCTTCTGCCACTTCAAAATCAGCGATTAGCGCCTGCAACCAACGAGTCAAACCAAGATCAAATTAAACATGGCAAGTTAAAAATTTGGGGCTGAACATCGGCTGGAAGTTATTAGTGAAGTAAACCAGGGATAAATGATTGAAACCTTGTCTGACTTCTGCTTAGGCCATTAACCATTTAAAAGTAACCAATTCAACTCTTAAAGTAATGCAGTGTAAGCAATGAGCCATCCAATTCTTACCCATCAAATGTTAAACTTAACCACAAGAGAAGCTTCTTTGAGTAAAGTGATCTACAGAGTAAAATATACCTCCATATAGATTATAGAGTGACAAATAAAATATTAATCGAGATTAAACGTGAGAGGAAAGGATCCCGTCCTCCAATTCTCCCTTCCCGTTCTCTTTTACCTCTTCCCTGTCATCATCTTAGAGTGTCCAAGTTCACAAATAAACATCCTTCAAATAAAGATTGCAACTACAACTTGTCATTAGCTCCATTCAGGGAAGAAACAATAAGTAGTGAACTGGTATCAAGCACAACATTAGTATTAAAATTACGGGAATTGGAGAACATTATGCGTGTAGGCATGAAACACAAACTTGGACTTGAATTCTACGATGACAAGTACAGTAATAGAATGGGAAGTTGTAGGAGAATTAAAAGAAAATTTGGCAGGTTAAATTCTAGAAAGGGCCAGAATAGATGGGAGTTTCAGCATTTTCTAATGTTTTCAAAAGTAGATTCATCTAGCAGCCTGATTGGTATTCCAATGCAGAAATCTCAACTGCAATAGAGAGAAATGGCAGAAGAATGGACCAAAGATAATACATTCTTCGGAGACATATCTTTCGTCCTTTTCTTCCTTTTATTTTTCTGATATGATGGTGTCCTATCTAGTGTGCACACCTCGACTATCCACCGGGTACTTGAGACAAATAACTCCTTCAAACAGAATGGCCAAGCAAATGATGGAACAGAGGGAATGCAGTCATTGAAGGAGCAATATAACGGTGGCAGTGTGGTGGTTGGAGTGAACGAAAGAAAGAGAAGGAAATACTATAGAGAGAGAGGCTCTTACTTCTCTCTAGAATAGAAAATATTTCCGGTTGTAGCTCCTTGAAAATCCTGAACCTTTTAATCGTCTTCAAATAGTACTTTCAGCACCATTATAACGGTGGCAGTGTGGTGGTTGGAGTGAATGAAAGAAAATGAAGGAAGTACTATAGAGAGAGAGGCTCTTACTTCTCTCTAGAATAGAAAATATTTCCGGTTGTAGCTCCTTGAAAATCCTGAACCTTTTAATCGTCTTCAAATAGTACTTTCAGCACCATTATAACGGTGGCAGTGTGGTGGTTGGAGTGAATGAAAGAAAATGAAGGAAGTACTATAGAGAGAGAGGCTCTTACTTCTCTCTAGAATAGAAATTTTTTCTGGTTGTAGCTCCTTGAAAATCCTGAACCTTTTAATCGTCTTCAAATAGTACTTTCAGCACCATTATTATCTTATTTCTAACCCATGGACAAGGATGCCCAAGTTAGGCTAATGAAGGATACAGGATTGTAACCAATTGTTAGCTAATAGCAGTTATCACCGTACTTAGAGAATACTGGATAACTCTCTCCCACGGTAAATCTCATCTGAAAGTATCCATCTTTCTGAACTGCTTCACCACTATATGTCTATATCATCTAAATACAATTTTTGAATTGAGAATTTTATGCTTTCTCACTTTCACATTACAGACCTAAATAAATGAAACAGAAAGGTAGACTACCAACTTAAAAATTACCTAATACGCAAATGTCTAGGAGTGCATCAAGCAAATTTCACTCAAAGTTAAAAACAATAGCACTGGGACAAACCTCACTGCTGCCCTTCTTAGCTTGCAAAGTAGCAACTATATCCAAGCATTTCTCTATGTCGGGGATCTTTGCCTGTGTAGAGTGAATAAGGATAAGACAATTCTCCACGTGTTAGCAAGACAATAATATAAAAGCATCAAGCCAGCTAAAGCGAGAAACTTTCAAAATCACTTAGACTGATCGCAGAAGAGATGTCAAACATGTATAATTCAACCCCTTTGAGCAATACAACATCATAACAACAACTTATAAATGGCGGGAACGACAATTGGCAAAATGTATGAAGCAGTCTATACTTTGGCCACCTGATGCAAAGACTAAAGTATAATTCTCTAACTTCTGCTCCACCTTCCAGAAGAATCAAGGATAGAGTGACACATGAACACATTCTCCATTTGAATTGCATTATGGCCTATTTCCTCAATTCAAGTATGTGACAAACCCTGGGAACTCATATTAACAGTTACTTAAATTGAAATGAATACTATGAAAATAGACAAAACAGTGTACCTGAAGGTCCCTCTGCTGTGCCAGAAGTTTCATTTCAACCACTCGGTACTGCTGAAGTCTGCAAACAAACAACATGTATTCAGGAAACAAAAGGAGCCAATAAGTAAACTAAGCACTGACTAAAATTTCCATAGCAGGACTAAATTAGTGTGTGCTTGTGTACTGGACTCTGATCTGGTGCTTATGATTTATTAGTAATAGAACAAGATAACAGCCTGCACAAGATAGGTATTAATAAAGTTTTGTTATATGTGTTCTACAGTTTGACTGTATTATAGGCCAAAAAACCCAAAACAACAAAATGAACAATTTCATTATTTTGTGGGTTAAAAGATGTATGTCTTATTGGACTTGTCATTTTGAATGACAAGATGGACACGACATGCAATGGCCAAATATGTATGACCAACCGAATTCAGAGGTCTCTTTAGTCAAAATTCTGTAATCTGCTTTTAGTGAACTTTCATGCAATTAAGAGCATGCACTTTGGTTTGATGCTTTAGGTAGACGATACAAGAAATGGTAAGCAAATCTGAAAGCGAATGAGAAACTATAACTTCAGATTAGCAACATTTTGGAAGAGCAAGAAACTCAGTAACACGATAAAAGGACAAAAAGATTATGGGGCTTTAAAAACGAGAACAACACAGATTCTGAAGAACCACAAATTCCAGTCATTACAAACAGATGTATACACACTTCCATGTTTGTAGTCATACTAGTTTTATTTAGTCATGAACAGATTTAAGAATCTAATTGAACAAGATTTGATTTATTTTCTGTAAGGCTGTAATGGCCTATTATCCCTCTTCAGCTTCTCCTTCTCTACTTCTTGTCCTCTTTAGTCCGTCGTACTAAAATAAGATCTCACCGCACTTATTATCAGTGAATCAGTATTTCTTAGGCCTATTCAGTTTAGACACACTCGGGAAAACACTTGGTTTTTAAAATGTTTCCCGTGAAATAGGGGTGCACCAAAGGGATTTCGGTACAAGATCAGGGGGTAAACTACATATTTAGCCTCTTTTTAATCATCATCTTTCAACAAAACTTACTCAACCACATAGTCAGCTATTCAACTCGATTTCAGGCCAACAAATGTCAAATCCAAATGCCTATTAAAGTATGATCTCCAAAAATTCACATTGCATTTGATTTCTCAGCAGCCCTAAAAGTAAAATAAGGAACAACAAATTTAGGGGTAAAGGTCCTATTAACCATTTGCTACAATTTTTTTTTAAAGGAGTTAATGTAACAAGTAAGCTCCCACAAGAATCTTTCCTTAAGCCGAGGGTCTATCGGAAACCGTCTCTCTACACTCTCAAGGTGAAAGTAAGGTCTCCGTACAAATTACCCCTTCCCAGACCCCGCTTGTGGGATTACACTAGGCATGTTATTGTTGTACGCTCCCACAAGAACAGCACATTAAAGGTTTGATATTTACCTTTTATTCCATACCCAGATTAAAAAGATAAAAGGGAAATATACAGAACTCCCAAGCAGTTACAATTTCAGTAAAGACTGAAACTTCACATGACAGTGAACAACCAATTTCTAATTAATTAATGTCGTCATAGAAAATAGCTCAAGTTCTATGCACCGACGTGTGAAAACTATTTACACAATCAGTTCAGTTAAAAGGTAATTGCTGTAATTCAAATTATTTAAACATTTGTCTATATCTCACTTATTATTGTCAACCTATAAAACTAAAATACTGAAAAAATATCAATAAAATCACTATCATTATACTCTATACAATTCATTATGCGAAATTTAAATGTCACCTAAGTATTTTATACACCAAATTATAGAATTAAAAACGGACCTTTCTTGGAGAAAAGCAAGAGCAGAGTTAACATCAAGATCAGACTGGGTAAGATAGGACTGAACATCTTGTACAAATGACGCCGCCGGTATTCCCCTTCTCTCCGTTATTGCTTCCGCCATCTCCGTCCAAAGCTAGTTTACAGTTTGTGTAATTAATTTACTCTGATTATTCTGAGATTTTTCTCAGTTGTTTTTGCTCGACGAGTGAAGAAAGCAGAAAGCATAAAGGAAAACGACGACGTTAGGTCGGTCTACCTGTCAAAACGTCTCCGTATGTAATAATAAGTAAGAAAATTGAAAAGAACAAAAAACAAATTGGTTTTTGAGTAAAATGTGTCTGCAAGTCGGATTTGATTTAGTTGTTTAAATTGCAAATACAAATAAAATAAAAATAAAAAACATAGATGTACGTGTATAAAATGTATACTATGTGCTTCAGCTAGTGTTTGGTCATAGATTAATGTGTTTGGATATCAGTTTTTAAAATATATTTCACCTTTTTTAAAAAAAAATATATAAAATATGACTTATATCTACAAGTTCTAAAAATTATCATAAATACTCAACAGTACCTTCATCAATAACATTCATTATATTATCACAAACTATCGTCCTGAACATAAATAAATTTGGTATAAAATTATAGTTTTAATAATAAATTACATAATACACTATCAGATGACCAAGAAGATGAAGCAACATTGTTACAAAATAATAAATGGTGGGCTCTTTTATAAAATACAAAAATTTGGAGCAATTTTTAAAAAATATAATAATAAGCTGGTTTTGGAATTTAGATTTTGAAAATTTACCAAAATATGAATAAAATTTATGAATAAATATGTATTTGCCAAATAAATTTTGGCAAAATCTATGACCAAACGGGTCCTTAATATAACCAATAAAGTAGACAGTAAAATCAGATGGCTATTTGTGTAAACATCTATTTATATAATGGCTTATATTTGCTCTTATTTAGAAATGGTCCAGAGCCTCAATCTCACCATTTGTAAAGATGAAGGGCTGGTACCAAGTTCCTAGGTTAATATTCCAAAGCGTTGCCTCTTCAGTTGTATATATATATAATATATATACAAAAAAACATACTCCTACATTTTGTCGTAAAAATTACACGGGACATCTTATTTGGTCGGCTCCATTTAATTTATACCAATTTTTTAAAAAAAGTTTTAATTTGTACCAACTTTTTAAATAACGTCAATCCCCTTTCTCCCCCTCCTTCTCATCCTTCGTTTTCTTCTTTTTCTTCTTTTTCTTTCTTCTAATGTTGTTGGTGCTGCTATGAAACTTCAATTCATGAAATGAATGCCACAAGTATGTTTATCAGATTATTTAAAAATAAATTATAAATAATTACGTAAGTTAGTAGACAATAATTTGTGAATATTTCCACGTACGGGAAGTTTAAGGTCACACTTAGTGATTCTTTTCATAATAATTCTGTTCTTTTCACGTTTATTGTTTCAAAAATTTATGATTTAGATACTGTTGGCAATCTGATTATTTTATAGTAGTAATACACTATGAAAGAATAAAGTGATTATTTATCTAGTATGTTAGAAAGCTTTTTCAAAAACTTCAACTTATATAGTGCTGAAGTTTTTACAAATGAACTAAATAACTTCAGCTTATATAGTACTGAAGTTTTTTAAAAAGCTTTATGACAAAACTAATGAATCCAAGACAAAAAAAAACTTCAGCTTATTTAGTGCTGAAATTTTTACAAATGAACTAAATAACTTCAGCATCTTCTGCTGAAATTTTTTGAAAAAGCTTAATGACAAAACTAATGAATCTAGGACAAAAAAACTTCAGTTTATTTAGTGCTAAGTTTTTACAAATGAACTAAATAACTTCAGCATCACAAAACTTTAGCACTAGAATGCTTAAGTTCAGCAATTACAAACAAAAACTTCAGCACACTTGGTTTAGCAATTTTTGCTATTTTAAGCCTGTCTACTAGAATGCTGAAGTTTGCGTAATTGCATTTGCTATTTCAGACCCGTATACTAAAGTTACGCGAAAAAATGGATACGTTTGCAAATCTTTTTTGCAAAGTGAGTATACGTTAAAACGTGATCCAAAAAGCGGATATAGATACAAATGCTTCTATTTTATCGGCTATTATTTTTCAAACAAGTTTCCAGGCCTAACAAATGGGCCGTGCTTGGCCCAATGTATCAATTGTTTCCCTCATCAAAACCCTAATTCCACTCTCTGCAGTATATGTACTCGTCTTCGTCTTACAGCCTTACGCTCCATCCTTCATTAACTCTCTTTTCGTCTCTTCTTTGCTTGCAAATTTATAAGTTTCTATTCTTAATTTCAATTTTCAACTGAATTATATTCTTTGCCTTTGAATTGGCACCCTTGAAATAATTAACGATATGGGTTTTTTCCAAGTTTGCATTTTTTATGCAAATAAAAAAGGCAGAAATTGTTTTTGCAGGATCGTTGAGTCGCTTTGCCTCTATTATTTTCTAGGCTTAGTGAATAAGATCCTGCAACATTATTCAATATATTTTTGTTTTTTTTTTCCTATTTATTATTGTTCTGAAAATTTTCTGTGTGGGGATTTTCCTATGATGGCATGAAATCTTTGAGACCTGAATTCTCTATTTTGATGACAACTACAAGCATTTTTCTGAGGATTTCCCCACTTTCAAAAAAAAAAACTGTAAAATATTTTCTTTGTTTTTATATGATGTATATCCTTTTTTTTATTTATAATTTTTTATATTTATTTGTGTTGAATGGAAAAAAATGATTTTGGGTAGTATTATATTATTGTTGAGATGATGATTGCACTGGGCTCTGAGCAGTTTTAGGAAACTGCATTATATTGATGCATAAATGCAGCCTAGAAAACTACGTCTGATCACACTCTTTTTTGATGGAAAACTTTTAATTTTAGTATCATTATTTATATATTTGAACTTATTTTTCACTATTATTCCTATTTGGTAATAATAATAATAATATTAGTTGAACTTAAATAGAAAAATACTATTAATGAGGATTCATATTAATATGTACTTATGTAGTTTGACTAGGCATTAATTTTAAGAAAAAAAAGAATCTTTTGAAATTTGTGGTCGGGATAAAAGTTGTGGGGGCATGATGTGTGTGGTTATTAACTTTTCTAAATAGGTAAAATGAATAATCTAAAGTTAAATTATTTTTAAATGTAAAAATGTGTTATATTTATTTTGGAAGAGACTAAAAAGGAAAATATCTTATCTAATTTGTTTTACGGTAACTGGTTACAAATTTTGTTGAGATTGAGTTGTAATTGTATATTGTGTGAAGCTTAATGTTTAATTTTAGCTTTTGAATATTTCCAACTAAATCAGCTGAACATAAGTCCAAACTATACGCAATTCTAAGATTTAACTTTGTCGTCCCATGTTAGTTTGCTAAGTTGTGCTTTCTAAGGATGGGTAAATTTTTGTACGCTATAAACCAATATAGAATATCATAATTTGCAATTAAATTCCGATCATTGAAAGAAAATCCTGATCAATAATTAGTTTCCTCTATGGAAAAAGTTTTCACCATTTTTCAATTGAGAAAATATTTACTTATATTTCCTAAAATTATCTTTTACTAGGGTCAACGTCTGGTACGACTAATGAACAAAATCAGATATTACAGTATTATTTCTTACCAATCTGGCTTTACCTTTGCTTTTATTCATTGTGACCTTTTGGTAGCTGCAGGTGCAAAGGTAAATAAAACAGGCAACATAGCCATTAGCCAAATGCGAGCTAAGAAATTTTAGTTTGATCCTCCTGGATTTTGTTGTTGCAATGGTTCAGTTAGCTTAACTACACACAAAATGCCCGCAGAATTGCGGAATTTATATATAGGAAATACTAAGGAATCTAAATGCTTTCGCACATACATTTGAACATACAATAATATCTTTGCATTTACATCACTTGGTGTGATGTATCATTTCAAGGACAAATGATATTATGGTATTTATACTTTTAGAGTTCAAGGACAAATGTATCATTTCATAGATGATATATTCCCTGTGAACCAAAAGGCAAAAAATCTGCAATTATACTTCTATGACAATGATAATGAACTAGCAAAAAGCATGGTTTATTCCGATAGGATTGATGAAAGTATAGTCAGAAATTTGATGGAGTTGCTGAGAAATAATCCATATTCTATTTTTTTAAGATCGTTGACTAATGTTTCAAACCGGCCAAACTTCTATATTGCACTTAAATGTGATGCAGGCTTAGATCAATGAATATATAACCTCCCTATATCAGAAGTTGCTGCAATATGGGTTGAAGAAAATAGTAGTAATGTTATTTGAGCACCTCATATTCGAATTTACACTAATAGTAACATGTCACAATTAGTAAATTATTATTATGGTTGTTATGATCCTTTACATTATCCATTATTATTTCCATATGGTCAAGGGGGATGACATTGTGGAATTAAAAAGATTATGCCTGCAACTAGAACTCATGGACAAACTATTTCTTGTGAAAATGAAGACTTACAAAATATTAGGAACATATGTTCAATTGATGGATATCTTGAAATGGAAGAGCATGTCCTACAACGGAAAAAACGAAAAAGAGACAATGTTTCAATTCGTGAGTATTATTGTTATAAACTTCAAATGAGAAATGACGATGAAGATGATGTTTTACATACATAAAGATTATTTCAGCAATATTCTGTAGATGAATATATAAAACTTGAAACATAAAGATTATACTTTATCTCACTTAATCCAGATTTGTTCAGAGTCGATATATTACAGGGAATTGTTGATGCTTTGCGATTTGGTGAGAGGGAAGCTGCTAACATTGGAAGACAAAATTTCCTCCCTGTTACATTTATAGGTGGACCAAGGGATATACGTCGACGATATATGGACGTTATAGCATTAGTGCAACGATTTGGAAAACCTCATATATTTTTAACTATGACTTGCAACCCATCCTGGCCAGAAATAGAAGGACATTTACTATCAACTAATGAAGTTCAAATAGACCCGACTTAATCAGTAGAGTACTTAGAGCCAAAGTAGATGAATTGAAAAAGGACATAGTGAAACGAAGCATATTTGGAGAAGTTATTGCTTTAATATATACCGTGGAATTTCAAAAGCAAGGTCTTCCGCATGCTTATTTTCTAATCATATTGA